TTATATTATATATATATTTAGTCGTAATCCACCTTTTAAGTGTTTTGCCAACTCGTTGGCTTAAACTTTATGCGCAAATAATCCAAAAAAGTATTCAGTTCAAATTAATTGTAATATTTTTTTTTTTGAAATTAACATCTATCTTATCTGTATTAAGCCATAAACGAAATTCTAAAATCTTGTTTCGCTTTGGTCTTTTGTTTTTGCCGCTTGTTTCTTTGTTTTTCCCGTTTTGGTTTTGGTTTTGCCTTCTTCAGTCAAATTTAAACTAATGGCCGAGCATTTAGATTGATGTGTGAGACTTTGTTGCGGGTCTTCAACATGCGGACTCCATCATCCATCATCAAAAGCTCATCAGGCTACTAGTGTTGAAAACAGGACGCATTGCTTTTGAACGCTGATATATCTTAATGATCGGCGGCCCTAGCCAATGGAATTTCTTAATGTGACGATGACGTCAGTGTTGAAAGCAAAAGCTGCATATTGCAAGCTTTTCGCTGGGCCAAAGCTTACTAGTAGCCCAATTAGGAAAATTAATAAGCTCAACAGCTGTCAGAGATACGCAGATAATAATAAAAAATAAATAAATAGATAAAAAGAAAATAATAAAATGTATGTATGCAAAGTAAACAAATGCCTAAAGAACGATTGGGCCGAGCCTGGTCGGTCGCCCACACCCATAACAGAGAGGCGAGAGCTTTAACAGAGCGCTGTTAAGCTGTAACAGTCGGTGCAAATGCAAAGAGCGCCAAAGTCGCTGCGCTGTCGCAGCTGACTGCGAGCTGCGACGTCGACTGTGGCAGCGGCAGCAGCTGTTTGGGGCCAAGCGAAAAAGTTTTTTTCGAGCACTTCGGTTCAGTTTGGACTTGCCTTTGACCGCGTGCGGACGGCGATGCCAGCGAGTTGTTGTTTTGTCGGCTTCCACTGACACTCTGTGCAGTGTCTCTCTGTCTGTGTGTGTGAGTGCGTGTGCCTGTGCGTTTGTCTCCCCTACGTTTACCTCTTGCATGAGTGCGGGCGCCACTCTCTGCGTGTATGTGTGTGTGGGGGGTACCCGCAGCGACTGCGACGGCGACAGCGGCAGAGACAGCGACAGCGGTAATACTTACTTACATATGTACACTTGATGTGTTTTTATTTATATGCGGCTTCGCCTGCTCAACGGCGCTTTGCGGTGTGCGCTGTGCGCTGTTTTGTATATTTTGTGCGTCTGTATCTATGCATATATGTTTGTATGTAGCTTAATACTTATTTTCGTTTTTGTTTGTCTGTCGCTCGTCGAAAAACAACAATGTAGGTCGTGCATATTGAATATATGCAAATAAAACAGACGTATTGAAACAGGCGAGCGCTAGCACCAAAAGCTACTACGTTTTTTTCTTGTGGCCCCATCTACTACTATTTTATAATAATAAATACAAAACACAAACATTCACACACACACACGAGCGAATAGAGACTGAAACGCCGACGCATAGCGCCTACGGTTGCGATAACAGCAACAGCGCCGCCGCCGCCACCCCCGAAGAGAGCGAAAACGTGAAATACCCAAAAAATTCACTCTCGCTGCGCTGCTCGCAGCCGGCGCACGCTCTCATTTTAGGTGCAGCCAGCTGCGGCAGCGGCTGTGGCAGTGGCAGCGACCGTTTGGCAGCGTTCTAATTGCGTGCGCGTCGCTGTTGCTGTTAGCGGCGACGACGCTGTTATCTGTAGCTGGCTGACGATCGTGTGTATCTTTAAGATATACCAACAGCAACAGTAACACCAACACCAACAGCTACAGAGACGGCTACACCAATACCAATGCGAGCCAGCAACAGCGGCAGCGCCGCATTCGTGTGTATCTTCTTGTTGTCTGTTTGTCGTATAAATTGAGCCGCACTTTGCTTATTCTCGAGTTTTTGCCGCTCAGACGTCGTCGTTGTAACTGCAAGCGCTGCGCAGCGAACGCGTCGCGTTTTATCAAAAACAAAAAAGAAAATAACAAAATACAAAGAACATATAGTACTTTCGAAACTGTATTGGCCATATAAAAAATTAAAAAAAAGAAGCAAAATCATGAAACGCTAAAAAGTAAGCAATTCCTTCAATGAAAAATAAAATGTATCTGAAATAAATATATATGTACGTAGCTGAAAGATACAAGTGCAACACAGAAAACACCCAACACACAAAATATTTCAAAGCGAAAAATTGTTTTATTTTTAGAACGAAATACGAAATATACGTTGAACTGAGAGTTTCCCCCAGAAAATGAAATAAATATTTGAGAATTCATTAAATCTGTTGGAAATTTACGATTTTTATAAAAAAAAAAGAATCAAAATAAAAAAAAAAAAAAATTAAAAAAAAAAAAACAAATAAAAACACAATAAAATATGTTCAACAAATTCAAGTGAAATACGAAAAAAAATTAAAATAATAATATAAAAAATTTCAATCCCTCAGCCGCAGCATTTAAATTTTTTTGTTTCCCCCATTATATGTGCAATTACTAAATAAATTATAATCAACAACAAAATACGAAAAAACTAATTAAATTGTGTGAATAAAAAACAACAACAACAACAGCAACAGATCGTAAAATATTGTGGGCAGTCAGAGAGAGAGAAAGAGGAAGTGAGCAAGAGAGAACGAGATAGGAGAAAGAGAGAAAGAGAGAGAGAGAGAGAAATTACACGCATATATTGCGTAGCAAAAGTTCTGAATGAAAAAATCGAGTCATACGGGCGGACCGAGCCACAGGCGATAAATGTAAGTACATCTGGAAATGTATATAAGCAATAGGCGTACAGATATCAAACATTAATATACATAGTATATATACACGCATACACATACACATATATATGTGTATAAATATTTGTACATTTAGTATCATCGAATTAGCGTAGCTTTATGGCATAGAAATTAACTTAAACTGGTTTCTGTGCGTGCAAAAGCATTAAATAAAAATTTATTATAAATGATATCTGGTAAATATAAATTTATAAATTATAATGGATACATAGATGGCAAAAGTGAAAAAGAAAAGTTCTATACAAAATTAATAAAAATAAAAATTACTAAAAAATATTACTAAATTTGTGAGCTCTATGAAACCAAATTTTCATGAATCAAAAACATTTTAGCCTCGTTTTTCACTTATCGAAATAGAGTTGAACATTATTTTCAGTGGATGCATTGAAATATATATTTGGCTTTACTTTACTAACATATTATTTTCTAAACAATTTATAAATGATTATTATTATAATGATTACTATTACAAAATAGTTTAAAGAACAAGCGCATCTCGTAGATATTATGCTGAATGGAAATTTTGTGTTTTTATTTATTATACCCTGAACCCATTGAAAATGGGAAATCAGGGTATAATGGTTTTGT